CATCTCATCCTTTGTCATCCCCTTCTCTTCCTGCCTTCAATCTTTCCCAGCATCAGGGTCTTTTCTAAGGAGTGAGTTCTCTGGATCAGGTGGCCAAAGTATTGGAGTTTCAGCATTAGTCCTTCCAATGAATATTCAGGACTCATTTCTAGCCAGCAGGAAAATGGAGATCTCAACACTACATCACAAGTAACTCACTTCTGCCTATAACTTAAATGAGTCTGGAAGAGGACACTGAGCTCCAGATAAGAATATAGGGCTGACTGAAACCTCTAAAAGGAACAAGACGTCAACTATAGGTATGAACCATTAAAGAGGTGGAAACCTTTAAAGAGAGGTGAGGGCAGGCAAATATTCACTAAGTGGTTCATGAAGAGAAGGAGAACCTGTAACAGTGAGACAAGGTTATTAAATAAAGGTTTCTTTTTCTTTATTTCCTGCCTTTCTTCCTTCCTTCCTCCCTCCCTGTCTTCTGCCCTCTCTTTTTAAAAATTTTTTCAAAAATTGCTTAGGTTGATGTGGTAATGCTACAAATGAAAGAGAATGAGACTTTTCAAAAAGAAAGAGGGAAAATTGTTGTAATTATCTCACACTACAAAAATAATTCTATATATTCACTTTTTTCTCAGTGTTTAGGAAAAAAAACTACATTCCTTACCCTTTTACTGTTGAAAAGATAATTTGATACTGGGCCCCTGTTACCTTTAAATGCTACCTATTAATATTTTTACATTTCACAACTTAGTGGCATTTTGAAAATATCTGAAGCTACAAAGTTTTGACATGCTTAGAATTTTTTCATGGTGGTTTTAACTTATTAATTCCTGCAAAAGTAATCTTCTTGTTCTCAAGGAATCCTTTTTTTTCCCAACACTTCTGCTATACAACTTTCTAATATGTGAGAGAGATAATAGTTCTATCTCTTCTGTCAGAAATCAGACAATAAGTTATGTGGATAACTGGAGAGGGATATGCAACTTTTACTGAAGCACAGTTGATTTATAATGTTGTGTTAGTTTCAGACAATACAGCAAAGTGATCCTGTTATACATATATGTATATATTCTCATCCAGATTCTTTTCCATTATATGTTATTACGAGATACTGAATATAGTTCTTTACACTATATAGTAGGTGCTTGTTGTTTATCTGTTTTAAATATAGTGTTGTACATTTGTTAATCCCAAACTCCTAATTTGTCCCTAGCCCACTTTCCCCTTTGATAACCGTAATTATTTTCGATTTCTGTGAGTCTCTTTCTGTTTTGTAAATAGGTTCATCTGTATCATTTTGGTAAACTTTTGCATTGTAGTTGAGTGCCCTCATGAACTTTTCACATATATTAGTTTAATCCTCAAAATCATCCTTTGGGTTATGTATATAATGATTACTTTAGAGAGGAAGAAATTCAGGCAGTTTAGTAACTCATCATGTAGTTAGTTAACTCAGCCAATAAATATATTCATCCATGTTTGAACACATCAAAGTTTAGAATGAGAAATCCTAAAAAATTGATTGATATGCCAAAAAATTAACATGAAAATACCCATAATTTGGAGAGCCTCTATACTCAGATTGTTCTGTTTGTAACTGTATCGATGGCTTATACTCGCTATATGTTGTGAAAGTTAAAAAGGTACAGTTCAAGTTGTGATATTGCAAATAGGCTGTATATTTATATATGATATTATCACAACCACTAGTAGGGACTCAACAAATGTTAGCTGCTTATTAAGATTGGAGATATTCACCCTGGTTGAAAAGAAATATCCAGAGAATGAAGAGAGGATTTCTTTTGGGGGCCACCAAAAGCTAACTTACTTTATTTACTATATTCAGAATCACTGCATGTACTGTTCACTGCTGATCTAAATTCCACTTAATTCTATAAACATACTTTAACTAATATTTAATGATTGTATATCACATGAAGTCAGGAAGTGATGGGTATAATCTCATTTAACAGACATATGATTTAAATAAGATGGGTTGCTATGAGAAGTGTTTGTGCACAAACTCTAAGTGGAGTGAATTGAAGTCGCTCAGTCGTGTCCGACTCTTTGTGACCCCTTGGACTTGTAGCCCACCAGGCTCCTACGTCCATGGGATTTTCCAGGCAAGAATACTGGAGTGGGTTGCCATTTCCTTCTCCAACTCATGTCCATCGAGTCGGTGATGCCATCCAACCATCTCATCCTCTGTCGTTCCCTTCTTCTCCTGCCTTCAATCTCTGCCAGCATCAGGGTCTTTTCTAATGAGTCAGTTCTTGCATCAGGTAGCCAGAGTATTGGAGTTTTAGCGAGAGCATTAGTCCTTCCAATGAATATTCAGGACTGATTTCCTTTACGATTGACTGGTTTGATCTCCTTGCAGTCCAAGGGACTCTCAAGAGTCTTTTCCAACAACACATTTCAAAAGCATCAATTATTTGGTGCTCAGGTTTCTTTATAGTCCAACTCTCACATCCATACATGACTACTGGAAAAGCCATAACTTTGACTAGATGGACCTTTGTTGGTAAAGTAATGTCTCTGCTTTTTAATATGTGGTCTATGTTGGTCATAGCTTTTCTTCCAAGGAGCAAGTGTCTTTTAATTTCCTGGCTGCAGTCACCATCTGCAGTGACTTGGGGCCCCCCAAAATAAAGTCTCTCACTGTTTCCATTTTTCTCCATCTATTTGCCATGAAGTCATGGGACAAGATTCATGATCTTAGTTTTCTGGATATTGAATTTTAAGCCAATTTTTTCCACTCTCCTCTTTCACTTTCACCAAGAGGCTCTTTAGTTCTTCTTTGCTTTTTGCCATAAGGGTGGTATGTGGATCATCTCTGTATCTGAGGTTATTGATATTTCTCCCAGCAATCTTGATTCCAGCTTGTGCTTCATCCAACCCAGCATTTCACATGATGTACTCTGCATATAAGTTAAATAAGCAGGGTGACTCTGCATTCAAATAGGCATATCTTTCCTTTTCTCCTTTGCCTTTAGCTGCTCTTCTTTATGAAGGTATGACCAAAATCAAATCCTGATGATTATAAAGTTGAAGTGACAAATAGATTCAAGGGATTGGTTTTGATAGACAGGGTGCCTGAAGAACTATGAACAAATGTTCCTACCATTGTATAAGAGGCAGTGATCAAAACTATCCTCAAGAAAAAGAAATGGAAAAAAGCAAAATAGTTGTCTGAGGAGGGCTTAGATATAATAGAGAAGAGAATAGCACAGGAGAAAGGGGAAGATAAACCCAAGTGAAAGCAGAGTTCCAGAAAATAGCAAGAAGAGATAAGAAAGTCTTCTTAAGTGAATACTGAAAAGAAATAGAGGAAAATAATAGAATGGGAATTACTAGAGATCTCTTCAAGAAAATGAGACACTAAGGGAACATCTCATCAAAGATGAACACAATTAATGACTAAAATGGCAAGGACCTAACAGAAGCAGGAGAGATTAAGCAGAACTGGCAAGAATACACAGAAGAACTAAACAAGAAAGTCCTAATGACCCAGATAATAACTATAGTGTGGTCCCTTATCTAGAGCCAGGCATCCTGTAGTGTGAAGTCAAGTGGACCTTAGGAAGCATTACTATGAACAAAGCTACTGGAGGTGATGCAATTTCAGCTGAGCTATTTCAAATCTTAAAAGATGATGCTGTGAAAGTGCTACAGTCAATATGCCAGCAAATTTGGAAAACTCAGCAATGGCCACAGGCCTGGAAAGGGCCAGTTTTCATTCCAGTTCCAAAGAAAGGCAGTGTCAAAGACTGTTCAAACTACTGTACAACTTCACTCATCTCACATGCTAGCAAGGTAATGCTCAAAATCCTTCAAGCTAGGCTTCAAAGTACACAAACTGAGAAATTCCAGAGGTACAAGTTGGATTTGGAAAAGGCAGAGGAACCAGAGATCAAATTGCCAATGCCCTTTGGATCATAATAGAAAAAAGAAATTTCAGAAAAAACAACTACTTCTGCTTCATGGACAATGCTAAAGCTTTTGAGTCTGTGGATAACAATAAACTGTGAAAAATTCTTAAAGAGATGGGAACACCAGATCACCTGACCTGCCTCTTGAGAAATCCATATGCAGGACAAGAAACAACACTTAGAACCAGACATGGAACAACAGACTGGTTCAAAATTGGGAAAGGAGTACACCAAGGCTGTATATTGTCACCCTTCTTATTTAACTTATATGCAGAGTACATCATTGAAATACTGCACTGGATAAGTCACAGGCTGGAATCAAGATTGCCAGGAGAAATATCAACAGTCTCAGATATGCAGATGATACCACTCTAGTGGCAGAAAGTAAAGAGGAACTAAAGAGCTTCCTGATGAAGGTGAAAGAGAGTGAAAAAACTGGCTTAAAATTCAGCATTCAAAAAACTAAGTTCAAGGCATCTGGTTCCATTACTTCATGGCAAATAGATGGGGAAAAATAGAAACATGGGTAAGTTTATTTTCTCTGGCTCCAAAATCACTGTGGACAGTGACTGCAGCCATAAAATTAAAAGACGCTTGCTCCTTGGAAGAAAAGCTATGACAAACCTAGACAGCATATTAAAAAGCAACAAGGAGGTTAAACCAGTCAATCCTAAAGGAAATCAACCCTGAATATTCTTTGGAAGGTCTGATGCTGAAGCTCCAATAATTTGGCCACCTGATGCAAGTAGCCAACTCATTGGAAATAACCCTGATGCTGGGAAAGATTGAAGGCAGGATGAGAAGGTGGTGACAGAAAATGAGATGGTTGGATGGCATCATTGACTCAATGGACTTGAGTTTGAGCAAACTCTGGGAGATAGTAAAGGAGAGGGAAGCCTGGCATGCTGCAGTCCATGACATTGTGGTGTTGGACATGACTGAGCAGCTGAACAACAACTGTCTTTTATAAATGTTTACTTGGTGAAATAATTTTATGTCAATGCATAGTAAGTGAATGAATACAATTTATCATTGCAGAACACTCAGATTAAGATATGTCAGCTTGAGTTCAACATGTCAACTTTCAAAAATACCACATCCTCTTCTGTCATTTTCTTTCTGACTGGTGTTCCTGGGCTGGAAGCCTTCCACACCTGGATCTCCATTCCCTTCTGCTTTCTCTATGCAATTGCTCTCTCAGGAAACAGCCTGGTTCTCTTTGCCATTGTCACTCAACCCAGTCTCCACGAGCCCATGTATTATTTCCTGTCCATGCTTTCCACCACTGACCTTGGCCTGTCTGTATCCACTCTGGTCACCATGCTGGGTATCTTCTGGTTCAATGCCAGGGAGATCAGCTTTAATGCTTGCTTGTCACAAATGTTTTTCATTCAACTTTTCACTGTCATGGAATCTTCAGTGTTGTTGGCCATGGCCTTTGATCGATTTGTGGCTATCTCTGATCATCTTAGATATGCCAGTATCTTAACTGATCTTAAAATAGCACAGATTGGAGTAGCAATCGTCATCAGGGGTACCCTAATACTGACTCCTATGGTGGTGCTTCTTAAGCGCTTGTCCTATTGCCACAGCCATGTGCTCCACCACTCCTTCTGTTTCCACCCTGATGTGATGAAGCTCTCATGCACAGACACCAGGATCAATAGTGTGGTTGGTCTGACAGCTCTGATCATCACTGCTGGGGTGGACTCGATCTTCATTATCCTGTCTTATCTTTTGATTATCAAGACTGTCCTCAGCATCACATCCTCAGAAGAGAGGAAGAAAGCCTTCAGCTCATGCATCTCTCATATTGGTGCTGTTGCTGTACTCTATATTCTGTTGATTAGCCTGTCTTTTGTTCACAGATTTGGGAAAGGGGTCCCGCCATATGTACATACTCTGATTGCAAATGCCTACCTGTTGATCCCCCCTGTAATGAACCCCATCATCTACAGTGTGAAGACCAAACAGATACGCAGAGCTGTGCTAAAAGTTCTCCATACCACTGCAACAAAGAACTAGATGTGTTTCTCATTTTTTTCTAGTCCTGGGCATCATAAGAAGTGAAAGTCACTCAGTCATGTCCGACTCTTTGTGATCCCATGAACTGTAGCCTGCCAGACTCCTCTGTCCATGAAATTCTCCAGGCCAGAATACTGGAGTGGATAGCCGTTCTCTTCTCAAGGGGATCTTCCTGACCCAGGAATGAAAACCGGGATCTCCTCATTGCAGGCGGATTCTTTACCAGCTCAACTACAAGGGAAGCCCAAGGGTATCATATAGATGAGTAAAATGCCATTTATAGAAGCAAAAATCTTGCAGCTCATGCTTGGGATGAAAGCATCAACAATATCACTTTAGCTTTAAGTAAGAAGAGTCTCAGATAAAAAAGATAAATTTATGCTGGAAAATCCCTGCTGCTATTTTACTCAGATAACCACACTTATATTAATATTTCTTCATTCAAGATGAAAGATTTATAATGACCAGGATCCTATGATCCAGTTTTGATTTCACAAATGGAATTAGTTTTTGTTTTTGATTGTTTTAGACAAAGATGGGAATGAAAAGTATATTAACAATTGTAAATTACCAAATTTTATCATATAAATCTGGCACATACAAACTGGCATTGTCCATAGCTATAGAATTGTTCTAAATATGTTTAGCTTTCTTTATGCCTCTGGCCTCCCTGACCTTTAATATATAACTGTTGTCATCATCCATATAGTTTTTACTGCTTTGTCAGTCATTTAAAAATTTTTGTCAAATATTCTTACCTTCACTTAGCTCTTCAGGAAAGATTTATAGCACAATCATTCTGTGAAAATAACTCTTCTCAGATCACCTCCAAACTATAGTTTATTCAGAAGTACTGATGTCATACTTGATGCTTAATAAATTTGTTGTTGGTTAGCAAATATCATCTAGAAATAAAGTAATTTTCCTTATAGTCCCAAGTTTATCAGGAACCAAATGTAGACACAGTTTAATTTGGTTGGATTTATGTTGCTGTATTTGAATTCTCTTGTCAAGGAGACTTGAAGTGGGTATGCTAGTTTTGCTCTAGATAGGAAAATGGAAATCATACCAGCAGTTAACACTGGGGTTATTTAATCCAAGGAACTGGATACACAGGATTAGAGAACTGCAATGACACAAAGGTAATACAGAGATAATTACTGCAGGATGTCACTTCTGCCTTTAAGTCTATGTAAGCAAAAAGAAAAGTCTGTGGTTATGAAAACCTAGAAGCCTGGTGGAGGGTCTCCTCAGAGCTGACTCTCAGACCTGTAATGAGAGGGTGCTGCCCTTGCTGGGTTAGTACCTCACAAGTTCACAGGACAGACCACAGGGAGCCAAAACCCAAACCTCTGTGGGTGGGCACTTTGTAGGTGGAGCTTATGCATCAGGAGCCCAGAAGAGGACCTCTCAGAGAACTGGGACTCAGGTCCCTGGAAAGGAGCCCACTGATATTGGTGTTAAGGGTGTGGAAATACTTGAAATTGGAAAGTGGGTCTGATACTAGCCAGCAAAGAACTATTGCTGTCCAGGCATTGGCAGGAACAGCAAGGCAACAATGTCCTTGTCCTTCCAGTATAGCAGGGAACCTAGCTGTCAAACAACGATCATGGTTATTTATTTTCTGTCTTCTTAGCAGCTTCAGAGCATAGAGAATAGTACTTTACAGAGCTGAGATACAATATCTTCATATACAGCCCAGTGTGGCAATGTGCATGTGACAAAATTAAGTTTGATGGGGCCATTACAGGAGTTTTCTTAGTTGCTCTAATCTGGACTATTGATAATAACATCAGTATCCAGTAGCTATAGGCAGACAAGTGCTTCCACACTTCACCAAACATTTCTACATACAATCTTCTGCAATGCTGCTAACTGATCATTTCCAGGAAACATGGAATGTGAACTGTTCTTTAGATGAAATGGACCTAACTGACATATGCAGAAGATTCTAGACAACAGAGGTAGAATACATATTCTTCTCAAGCACAGGAGGAAATTCTACCAGGATAGGTCATGTGTTAGGTCATAAAATAAGCCTTAACAAAATTACCTGTCAGTGCTGCCAGGGATTCTAAGGATTTCACAGATCTTTTGTATGGATGTGACAGCTCATACATCTTGTTCCCTCTTGGCGGTGGGACACTTCTTCAGAATGTATGTCTCCTCACCCTGCAGAGCCAGACTGACTGCTGCTAGACTCCCCTGTGCTTTCCCTATTGTGTGCTATTAGTTCAACTTCATGTGCTTTCTTTTGATTCTGCCTAGTCCAGCTGGTTCTCTGTGTGTGCTCACTGGCCCTCTGTAAAAGCTTGCACTCTCCACCTGTGGGGACACACACTGTGAACTGTCTATGGAGGACATATAGTAAGGCATGTGAGCACTGGGGAGCGCCCATAGGTCAATGGGGGGCAGAAGTGAGGCGTCTCCAGTAGCTTTTGGGCAGGCTTCCTAGTAGAGTCTGCAAAGTGGTTAATAGCATCTGAATCCCCTCTGTGAGTTTCAATCCCTGACTGCTGTGATCCCAGCTCTCCATATCCCTGAGTCATGCAAATCATCTTAGTATTCTGGGGGTATGGAGCAGTTGAAAAATACATAGGCCTTTTTTGAAGCATCCTTTACTGATGGGGGAAGTGCCCCCTCACTATCCTCTCATTTTCCCCCATGGAAGAGGTGACCTCTCTTGGCACTCATATCTCAGTGGAGTTATGATGCCTTCAGGGAGCATGATGCAGGTAAAATGAATCTGTTTCTTTCTTATTCAGTGGGTCTATTCCTGGATGTTTTTTCTGAGACTTCTTCCCAGATCTCCCAGATTCCCACACAGGTATTCTTATCTGTGGGTGGTTGTCAAAACCAGTGTTCTTTTGAGAGAATATTGTAGAAAATTCCTATTCTACTATCCTACTCACAGTCATAGTCTTGACCTAAGGCTATGTCATCTTTCTGGAGCTCTGTCCTAATATAGTTCAAAGAGACCTGGAGAAGTAGGACATCCCACAAAGCCTCACACTGGTCAATTACATTGATATAATGATGAATATTAAAAAGCAGAGACATTACTTTATCAACAAATGTCTATCTAGTCAAGGCTATGGTTTTTCCAGTGGTCATGTATGGATGTGAGAGTTGGACTGTGAAGAAAGCTGAGTGCCAAAAAATTGATGCTTTTGAACTGTGGTGTTGGAGAAGACTCTTGAGCATCCCTTGGACTGCAAGGAGATCCAACCAGTCCATCCTAAAGGAGATCAGTCCTGGGTGTTCATTGGAAAGACTGATGCTGAAGCTGAAACTCCAATACTTTGGCCACCTCATGCAAAGAGTTGACTCATTGGAAAAGACCCTGATGCTGGGAGGGATTGGGGGCAGGAGGAGAAGGGGATGACAGAGGATAAGATGGCTGGATGGCATCACCAACTCAATGGACATGAGTTTGAGTAAACTCTGGGAGTTGATGGACAGGGAGGCCTGGCGTGCTGTGATTCATGGGGTTGCAAAGTGTTGGACATGACTGAGTGACTGAACTGAACTGAACTGAATGATGAAATCATGCTAAGCATGTGGGATGGACAAGAAACAGCTAGCAACACATGCACTCTAGAGCGTGGCTGGCAAGCCTTCACACATGCAGCATCTTTCCATAACTGTAAAACTCTTGGTGGTCCAGTGTTATGGAGTCTGTTAGGACATTTCTTGCTCAGTAAAGTAAAAATGTTGTGTTTTGCTCTCCAAACCCAAGAAGGATACCAATGTTTAGTAGGCCCCTTTGGGTTCTGAAGGCATTTACACTGACTCCTTCTCTCCCTACCTCTCTCCACATACTATTAGGTGCTGCCTCACTGACACTGAAATTTTCTTCAATACTCAGAGGATCCTCAGACATTTATATGTATTTCCTGTTAAAGACTTAGTTTGTTAGCTATTTTCCTTCTGACTGAAGGTCAGAGTGCTCTATATTTACAGGCCTAAGGACTATGACTGGTTAAGAAATCTGACTCTGGTCCAACCTTGCCCTGACAAGTAAAGACAGTTGTCAGCAGCTCTGCTTTCCCACGTCACCCCCAGCTACACATTTATATTTCTGGGACATAAGTGAAGGGACTCTTAGATATGGTACATGTATAGCTCAGATATAGGGACACCTCAAAAAGTATCTGGATTTAATATTCTATTACTTAATGCTAATGTTAAAGTGTGTGTGTGTGTGTGCATTCATGTGCCTTTTTCCTATCAATTCAGAGCTACTCTGAAATAATGTGTTTAGAAATTCTTCAATGTATGATCTTCTACATATCTAAGATTTTCTGGGTATTGTTTCTGCTTTCTATAGACAACTGCCTTTGATGTATCTATGGATAGGATGACATATCTTGTCATGGGGAGGGCAATATGCTACTTGTTATTCATCTGGGCATAAGGGTTCTCTGTTCATCCTAGATACTGCCAAAAAGTTAAAGTGCACACCTGCCTCAGTGCATTCTTTCACATTTAAGCAAATTTCTCCTTGGCCTAAAATTTGGCACAAAGAGGGTCAGGTTAGGGTGAAAGGGGCAGAAGTAAAATCATTGGATATTTGATGGAGTTCTGCAGTCCAGCACCTCAGAATTTGAAACAGCACTTAGAGCAGCCTCTGTTTCTCCTTCAACATGCTCCTGTACATATTGTGGGCTTCTCTTCTTTACACTGGCAGGTAAAGGATCTGCCTGCCAATGTAGTAATCACAGGTTTGATCCCTGGGTCAGGAAGATCCCCTGGAGAAGGAAATGGCAATCCACTCCAGTTCTCTTGCCTGGAAAATTCCATGGATGGAGGAGCCTAGTAGGCTACAGCCCTTGGGGTTCCAAAGAGTCAGACATGACTGAGCAACTTCACTCTGCTGTAAGTTACCTATGAAAATTATTAAGAGTAAATTCTGAGTTCTCATTACGAGGGAAACATTTTTTCTATTTACTTACTGTTTCATCTTTATGACATGATGTTGTACACTAAATTTATTATGC